AAATTCTTAGAAAGGTGACGCGAAGGCTCCAGGAAATATGGAGGCGTCAGGAGACCCTATCCGTTGCGGTCTGGAATGAAGAGCCGGCTCCTGCAGTTCTACGGAGCTAGTGCTGCCCGGCACCAGGTTTATGTTTTCTGGAGAGCGCCTGCGGGTTTCTGGAGGAAAAATAGGAACACAACATCTGCAGGCTCAAGCCAGCCATTTTCTTTTAAACTCCTACAAAAATTGTAATAAAAGAATCAGTTTCAAAGTGGGGTTACGTCAGTAGCCTGGTACGGGTAAGGAACGCATCTTGACCACGACATACCCATTAAACTTTAAAAGAAGTTACCAAATGTTAACTAGGACGTGGAGCAGCTGGACCTTTCTTGTTGCTGATGGGAATGCAAAATGGTTACAACTACTTTGGTAAATTACAATAAGGTTATGCACTTAAGTGTTCCAGCAATCCCACTGCTAGGTATTTACTTAGGAATAAAAATGTGCTTGTACATTAATTTTCATAGCTTTATTTTTAATGACAAAAAGCTCGACACAACCCAAATGTTCATCAACTGGTGAACTTGGGGCGTAGCCATACGATGTAATTAATAGTAATTATCAACAAACGGGTGAGCTACTTAACATGCAGAAACACATCTCAAAATAAATTATGTTGAGCAAAGGAAATCATAGTTTGGGCAAAAGAGTATGATTCCATCTATGTGAAACTACAAAAAGACAAATCTAAACTACAACGACAGAAAACAGAACAGTGACTGCTGGGGGTGTCAAGAAATGATTCACTGGAATAGGACTAGGTGATCCGAGGTGATGGAAATGTTTTGTATCTTGATTATGTTGATCGTTATATGGGTGTATGCACGTGCAAAAATTCATTGAAATAAAAAAATGCATTTTATTGTTTGCAAGCCAAACCTCAAGTTGATTTAAAAAAAATAAAGAATGCATCTTTACAGGATAATACGTTTCCTAAGGGCAGGAGCTTTGCCTATTTTGATTAAACCTGTATCGGCAGCATTTAGGGCAGTGATGGCGAACCTTTTGAGCTCGGCGTGTCAGCATTTTGAAAAACCCTAACTTAACTCTGGTGCCGTGTCACATATAGAAATTTTTTGATATTTGCAACCATAGTAAAAGATTTATATTTTTGATATTTATTTTATATATTTAAATGCCATTTAACAAAGAAATATCAAGCAAAAAAATGAGTTTGCGTGTCAGAGGTGACATAGGTTCGCCATCACTGGCTAAATCAATGGTTGGTATATAGTAGGCACTCACTAAATACACTCAGGCCAGGACCCCTGTGGCTCAGTGGTTGAGCATTGACCCATAAACCAGGAGATCACTGTTCCATTCTGATGGGGCACATGCTGGGGTTTCAGGCTCCATCCCCAGTAGGGTGCGTGCAGGAGTCAGCCAATCAATGTTTCTCTCTCTCTCTCTCTCTCTCTCTGCCTCTGCCTTCCTTTCTCTCTCAAAATCAATAAAATAATCTTTAAGGAAGGAAGGAAGAGCCAAATGTCTGTCCTTTATGGCTTTATCTCATTGAAGGAGAAAATGATCTTTACTGTGCTATATTACCATAATCCCAGCAATTTGGGTAAGGACACATTGCAAGAAGTATGTTGCTACAAAATAAAACATATTGGTGTGGAAACTGCAAAGTAAATAGGGAAATTTAAAATTGTCTCCCCTTAAATGTTACACTAAATAGTTACTGTTCAGTAACCTAAAATAGTTTATAATGTTTGTTAACTTACACTAACCTTTAAGTATATTAGTATTTGTTATAAAACCAATATAAAAAATTACTCATAGCCTAGCCAATTTGGCTCAGTGGATAGAACGTCAGCCTTCGGACTGAAGGGTCCCAGGTTCAATTCCGGTCAAGGGCACAAGCCCCGGTTGCGGGCTCAATTCCCAGTAGGGGGTGTGCAGGAGGCAGCCAATCAATGATCCTCTCTCATTATTGATGTTTTTATCCCTCTCCCTTCCTTTTGAAATCAATAAAAATATATATATATTTTAAAAAGTTACCCATACTTGTAAGCCTAATATAGAAATCACCCATAATTTTAGGCTGAAAGATCTTTGTTCAAGATCTTTATTCATTTTTCCATGAATATACAACATATGCTTTTATTTTGTCTAATAAAAGTGGGTCCTCACTGTACTTACCGTTTTATATTCTATTTTTAACTTCAAAATGGACTATGAATATATTTCACATTAATAAAAATTGTAGAACACTCAAACACATATATTTTCCCACTCAGGATTGTGGTTATTTCTCCTTTGTGATTTCTAATCTTGTCAATTTTTCACCTTATCAGGCTTGCAAAAAGTTTATGTAGCTCACACAATTTTTTTCCATTTGTATTTTTCCACCCAAACCAGCTTTTTATTTTTTATCCTTTTTGTATGTTTTCTAATTTATTAATTTTTAAATGCTATCCTTATTACTAACTTCTGAGACTCTTTTAATAGTCCTTCCCTAATTTCATAAGATGAATAGTTAGTTCTTTAATTTTCATTGTTTGTATTTAATAATGAGGACATTTGAGATGCTAAAGTTTCCTTCTAGAGCAGTGGTTCTCAACCTTGGCTGCACATTAGAATCACCTGGGAATCTTTTTAAAATCCTGATTTCTGGGCCTCATCCTCCGGAAATTCTGTTTCTTTGTTATGGGGTGGGGCCACAACATTAGTAACAAAGAAACAGAATTTCCGGAGGATGAGGCCCAGAAATCAGGATTTTAAAAAGACTCCCAGGTGATTCTAATGTGCAGCCAAAGTTGAGAACCACTGCCCTAGAGTCAGCTACCCTGGGTTTGTAACCCCAGTTCTGATACTCCCTAGTTCCTAGAACAATGTCCAATACCTCATAGAGCCTCAGTTCTTCACCTATAAAATGGATAGTTATTGCCTCATAGGGCCCTTATGAGGAGGAAATGATTAATCTGTATGTAGTGCTAAGGGAAGCTCCTGCCACAGGGTAAGTGCTGTCATGGTATTATTATTGCTATTGTCATTAATAATATGACCTCTTTACTGGTCTGCCAGGCCCTCATGGGCAGGAACCTGTCTTTAATCCTTCACTGCTCCCCCTCAGGTTCACCTCTGGCCGTGCTAAGCGCAGCACAATTTCATCTTTTTAAAATTCCTCCTTGATCTAAGGTTATTATTTTTTTAAATGTTGAGGGGCCACCCTGGCCAGTTTTGCTCAGTGGATAGAGTGTCAGCCCAAGGACTGAAGGGTTCCAGGTTCGATTCTGGTCAAGGGCACATACCTTGGTTGCAGATTCCATCTCGACCCTGATCCTGGTGCATGTGGGAGGCAACCAATTGATGTGTCTCTCTCACATTGATGTTTCTCTCTCTGGATCTCTCCCCCTCCCTTCCACTCTCTCTAAAAGTCAATGGAAAAATATCCGCACATGAGGATTAACAAAAAATTAAAAAAAAATGTGAGGGGTCACCTATTTGTATTTTTAATCTTTATTTTATTTTATTTATTTTAT